TTTCTCATCACCACATGTCCATGATAAGGGACAGCAAAGGCTCAGGCATTGGCTCCACAGAGAGCTGGGAACATTTTAGATAGTTAGCAAATTCACAATTCGGAGAAAAGTTAAAGAGCAACATTATGGAAAGGAAAAGTGTCAGAAAAGAAGTTGAAGTTTAACTGCATTATAAAATATAGGATGCCAGTTTAAAAAAGACAAAAAACCACCCACTTTAAAAAGAACAGAAGAAAAAAGCTAAACCCCTGCCACGAACCAGAGACACGTTTTAAGTGCCCAGGTGGCCATCACAGGTTGGACCAGCTGCTAGAAATCACTACCCCCGAGACCCACGAGCAAGGAATTTCACCTGGTCGACTTACCCACTTCTGTCACAATGACTTTAGTCACTTCAAGCACATACATTGCTGCTCTTTCCTAACAAATCGTTTTTATCAGGCCAGGCTGGGGAGCTACCAGAGCAGCAGTCATATGTGACAGCATCTCCAAGGAAGCAAAGCGGATGGAAGAGCAGAGCTATGACAGGCGGAGCGGGACAGACCGGGCAGCTCAGCCCCAGACAGCACAGGGTGCCCGACCACACATTTCCTGTGTTTATGCAACAAAAACCCACTAAGGGAAAAAAAAAAAACCAACCCCAAGCACAGGCAGACAACAGAGAAAGCCAGTGAAGGTAAAGAGAATTAAAGGCATAGATCCTACCTAGCTGAAACAAAAACTGTAAGGGAAACAGAAGAAACCAAGACAGCAAATATAATTATACCCCTGCATGGAGTTAAGTCTTGAATAACACATACACAGTCCTGAACAACTCTCCTCAACAAGATGAAAGTGAAATAAAAATTAAAATAACCATCCAGTAAAGGTGACCATCACCTGGAATGGCTGACACAGGAGGAGTGTAGATGTAGAGAAACTTCTCAGACTGAAGCCAACAATCATCCACCATTTCTCAAAAATACTGTCAGGCAGAGTAAGGAGCAATTTTTGGAAAAAAAAAAAAAAACAACACACTAAAAACATACCCTCACACTGAAAGGACATATTTCACACACACACACCCATTTATGTTAAACAGAGACTTCCACTGTCACAGGCAGCTGTGGTTGGCAAAACCACATTCTTCTTTGTGCCCCTAAGTCCAAGTCCCTCACGGTCCATCCCTATCTATAAAAAAGCTCTAACGAAACCACAAACACCTCTGAGAAAGCCTATAAATTACTGATTACCAGAGCATGGGGTTTTATTTAAAAAAAACCCCAAACAAACAAAAAACCAATCAAACAAAAAAAAAACCAACAACAACCCCAAAAACCAAACAAGAACAACTTTCCATTTCAAACCTGCTTTCCATATCCTTTTCTTCCCTACCCGCCCCACAGTCAGGACTCTCAGTGCAGCAGCTCGTCCATTCTTGGAAAAAAAAAAACAGAAAAGGCAAGAGTTGAACTGACAATCTCTTGCACCTTTTGATGGGATTTCTCCTCTATCTTGACCCAAGCTCGGTATCCATCAACTCTTCCCAGTTACAGTAATTTGGTTTCCCAGTAGTTTAGGCATCTCTCTTCCAGAGGTCAACTTCACATCATCCTCCCTTACAGTTTTGTCTAGAATAAAGAAATGAAGTAAGAAAGCACTTTGCTTAACTTGGCCAGTGCAAGTACAGTTGGCCAGCACTAGGCTCATCCAGAACCCGAGTACAGGAAGGTTTAACAACTTGCACTTTTGATTCTGTCATTGTACTCTTCAATAGAGTGATTAAAGTTCAACTGGGCATCCCATCTTACATATTTCTTGGTAAAATACCAGCAGGACTGTTCATCTATACTATCCCATTTGCTTGGGGTTGTATGGAGTATCCCATTTTTTTGGGGGGAGGGGGAGATTGCTGGGGTTTTGTGGAGTTTTTTGTTTTGTTTTTAAATCAAACAACAAACCCTGAACGAATGTTCTAATAGGTTCTTGTAATACTACTAGTGAATACTGAAACAATCTGCCACTGCCTCCACAACAGTATGTTAAAAGCATTCAGTTCAGTCTGCCCACAAAAACCTTCCAAGATTTTCTGTTGCCAAAATGAAGGTGAAGAAAGCAAGAGGCTTCACACAAGTTTAATGTTCAATGAACTTACTCTGCAGAGCAAATAGATTTATACTTATTCTGTTGGCAATGAAGAAGTATGTCTGGCTTCCCAAAGTATTCCAAAATTACAAAATTGTCTGAAGATCAAATGCAAAAAAATTCAAATGTACGGACTCATGGGAACCAAAAATCAAAGCTTGTACAAATTTTTGGAAATCAAAAAGGAGGGGACATGCATATAGCTAAGAAGATACTGACAAGAGTTCAGTAGATTTCAGTGTTCCACTGTGGCAATTTATCAATTGTTGCCATAAGATTTTTCTTAGTTGTAAAACTATAGGACGATTGGCTGCAAAGGGACTCTAAAATTTAGCTCAACCTTACTGTTAACATGGAAGTTATATAATCAAACCATTTCTTAACTAAAATTAGGCCAATTACCAGTTATTGAGCCATATAAGTAAGCAGATGTTACAATGCACCAATATACAGAACTCTACCTCCCTCCAAGTGGATATTAACCCAAGACAGCAAAAGACAATTCAAGCAAATAAAGTCTTTTTCCCCTAGAACATCTGAATATATTTTTTTCCCTTTAAATAATCTGTTTCTCTAGCTGTTTGTGGAGTCATACATTGAATCCACATGATTAATCTAGTACAGAAGGCAATGAATTATAATGACAGAGCTCAAGTGTGTCAGTGGGCATTACCAGTAACTTCATACGGTCTCGTGTGTGTCACCTCTGACAACATCCTCCTCCCCATCTTCAGGCGCCTGAGTGACATGTGCTCCTGAAACACTAATTTCCAGCAACTAAAAGAACACAAACGAACCTGTTCCAAGGCATTCTGTACTTCTGCCCTTCTCCTTTTGGTTCCTCCAGACTCACACTGCCCTATTCTTACTTCTCCATAGATATCAGAAACCCCTGAGTCTGCCAAAGATACTCAACACTCCCCTCTAAGCCACCTCTCACACGTAAAATCTCTTCATCAAGCTGACATAAAAGGCAAATAATCTCTTATCAAGAACCAGCTCTGCCATGACGCCAGTAATAAAATAATCAACTAATGACTTCTCAAGGTAAAACGTGAGGCCACCACCAAACACAGTGAGTGCAGGGTAAGCTACAGTTCGTTCTTTTCCACTCTTATTTTTAGAGATATACATTCCTCCCTGCTTTCGATCACAAGAAAGCAACACTTGGAAATCTGAATAAAGGACAACACCTTCAGAGAAAATCTGTTTAAAAGGCTCTGAGATTATTCCACAATCCTTTATAGAGGTTTGCCAGCGTTCTGGCAGGAATTGTTCTCTAACTGCACAGACACACAAATTGTTATGGTTAGAATAACCCACGCAATAACAATACTTGACACTGTGTGTGCACCCACTCAATTCAGTGGCCTCTGCAGCAGTAATTACATGCTCACTACTGTCATCAGAAGAGGATTGCCTTAAGAAAAGGAAACTTAAGGAAAAAATACAATGTATACATTGTAAAAAAATATATATACATTAAAAAACAATGTATACATTGTTTTATACCACACAACAATCATACATATGTACAATCATAAACTAGACTCAGTCCTTTCTGAAGTCTTATACAGTAATTCTAACTATACTAATAGACAATGCTAATGGTTTTAATAACCCAGGTATACCATATGTAAATCCTGAGGTATTCACATTTCATCATGGCAGTCTGACTTCAAAATGTTTAATTAGCACACTAAACTTTTATGCTTTAGGAACTACCATCACAAGTCACTGCAATGACCTGGACAGACACTTCTCACTTGCAAATAAGACAACACAGCCCAAAAAGAAATAAACAGCAAGTCTTACCTATTCTGAACAATCACAAAATGCGAGTTCTTTGGAGTGTGGTTTGTATCAGAACTTAAAACACCCATTTCACTTTATAGCTTCAGACTTTACTTTCAGTGTGCTTTGGCCACATAAGGCTACTTTCACCGAGATGAAAACACTGAAAGCCCATCTTTGTAATCAGCAGAAAACAAGTCAGGAAGAGTTTTTATCGCTTCAGTAACTGCACGTTTGACCTGCACACCCTGCCCCTCTTCAATTTTATGGGGATAAAGATGGAGATAAAGAAGAACTATCCAAAACCCAGGTATCCTTGCACTTAAAAAGCTTAAATCCCGCTCTAAAACAGCACAATTGTACACAGCAGCATAAGCACACAGTGTCACACGTACCCCTCCAGAGCACGTGGAGATAATGTTACACAGGACGTAGAGTAAGGGGTGCGACAGGAGTGGAGATACCAAAGACAAACAAAACGGTCAGTGGACTTTTTTGAACATCAGTGGGGGCACTGCCTCTAAGGAAACAGAGCTCTGCGGAGCGGTGTTTGAGTCACTCATTCATACCTCCCCACGCCGACGCTCTCCCATTAAAAACCAGACCCAGCACAACCGACTGCTTCCAGTGTAAACCTGAACCTGCACATCACGAACACAGGAACTCTCCTGGTCGCTGTGCACTCGCTCTCTTTAAGCCAACACCTCGGTGAAGAAAGGGGTGAAGGTGCAGCTCAAACTGAAGCCGAAGAAAAAAAAAAAAAAGAAGCGAAAGGAGGGCTGAAAGTAACCACAGAAACTTTTATTCTGCAAGCAGCACCGGGTCGGTGTTCGCTGTTATTCCTCGCTCTCCCCACCGAAACCCAGGGAACCCGCAGCCCCCCGGGACCTCCGGGACCGGCCTCTGCCTGGAGCGATCGTTCACCGAGCACCTGCGGGCACCTGCCGGGCCCCGCAGCTCCTCCACCGGCCCCCACCCCGGGGCACACCGGGGGCTGCCCCGGGCCCCGCGCCCTCCCTTCACCCCAAGCGCTCCCCCGGGGGGGGCGGGAGGAAGGGTCCGGTCCCGCCGCGCTCACTCACCCATGCTGCGCCCGCCCGCCCGGGCTCGGCGGAGCGGCTCCGCGTCCCTCCGACGCGCTCAAGCCGGGCACGGTGGCTCCATCCGCGGGCGCAGCGGGCGTGGAAGAGGCGGCTCCGAGCCGCGGGCGGCCCGGGGCAGAGGGGCTGCTCGCCCGTCCCGTCGCTCCCACCGCCGCCTCAGCCGCGCTCAGGCAGCGCCAGCGCCGGCCCCGCCCCGCCCGCGGCGGGGGGCGCCAAGTCCCGCGAGAGCCGCGCGCCGCCCCCACCCCCACGCCGTTGCCAGGCGGGGGTGACGTCACCGTCGCGGCCCCGCCCCCGCGCGGGGAGGTGGCACCGCCCCCGTAATGGGCCGCCCCCAGCCCCGTCGGCAGGGTAGCGTTCTGAGACCTCGCGTCCCCGTCATCACCCTCCTCACAGCCCCTCTTCAGTCCTCACAGCCCCCTCACAGCCCATCACATGCTACTCACATCCCACTCACATCCCCCTCATAACCCCCTCACAGCCCTTCATCACAGCCCTTCATCACACCCCTTACATCCCCCTCACAGCCCCCTCATCACCCTCTTCACAGGCCCCCCTCACACTCCCTCACATCCCCCTCACACCTCTCAGAGCCCCTCTTATCCCCTCACAGAATCACAGAATGGTTCAGGTCCGAAGGGACCACTCTGGGTCATCTGGTGCAACCTCCCTTCTCAAGCAGGGTCATCTGAGAGCACTTGGCACAGGATTGCACCCAGGTGTTTCTGGAGTATCTCCAGTGAGGGAGACTCCACACCCTCTGAGCAACCTGCTTCACTGCTCGGTCTTGCACAGGAAAGAAGTTCTTCTTCATGTTCAGGTGGAACTTCCTGGGCATCAGTTTGTGCCCGCGGCCTCTTGTCCCATTGCTGGACACCCCTGAGCAGAGCCTGGTCCATCCTCTGCCCCCTCCCTGCAGACCCTGACCGACATGGATGAGTCCCCTTTCAGTGTCTCTTCTGGAAGCTGAGCAAGCCAGCTCCCTCAGCCTTTCCTCCTAAGAGAGATGCTCCAATCCCTTCATCATCTTTGTCACCCTTTGCTGGACCTGCTCCAGGAGCTCCATGTCTCTCTTGTCCTGAGGAGCCTAGAACGGGACACAGCACTCCAGATGTGCCTCACTGGGGCTGACTAGAGGGGCAGGATCCCATCCCTTGACCTGCTGGCAATGCTGTTCCTAATGCACACCTGGATTCCATTGGCCCTTTGGCTCATGGACAGCACCAACCCCCTCACTGCTGAGGCCGCCCCCCATCCCCACCCACTCACTGTGAGAGCCCCCCTTCTCCTCGGGGTCTGAAGCACAAGTCCAGCAAGGAGCGGCTGAGAGAGCTGAGAGGATTCAGCCTGGAGAAAAGGAGACTCAGGGGTGACCTTATCATTCTTTACAATTACCTGGAAGGAGGTTGTAGTCAGGTGGGAGCCAGTCTCTTCTCGCAGGCAACCAGCAATAAGACAAGAGGGCATATTCCTGAACTGTGCCAGGGGAGATTTAGGTCGGATATTAGGAGGAATTTCTTCACAGAAAGGGTGATTAGACACTGGATTGGGCTCCCCAGAGATGGTGGAGTCACCATCCCTGGAGGGATGTCCAGCAAAGACTGGACATGGCACTCAGTGCCATGGTCTAGCTGGTGGTGCTTGGTCATGGGTTGGACTTGATGATCTCAGAGCTCTTTTCCAACACAATTGATTCTGTGATTCTATGATTCTTCCTTGGCCGGGTCAGAGTGAGCTGCCCCACTGCTGCCCCACTTCTCAGTCCCTCCCGTGGAGCCACCCCCGCCTGAGGGGTGATGCCCCCCTGCCCACCCGAGGTGGGGTGTCCGTCCACAGCCCCCCACGAGCAGAACTGCCTCAAAGCCCATCAGCAAACACCAACCTGACGAGGCCCTTGGGCTGCCCCTGCACCCGGGAGCTTCTCCACCTTCTCCCACAGCAGCCTCCGGCCTCTGGCCTTACCGAAAACCACCACCCTGGGAAGCCCCTTTTGCTCAGAGAAGTGAAGATTTGGGGGCTATTGTGGCTGCAGGGGCCAGGCCATTCCGCTGGCCCATGGAAAGTGACGTGCAGGGAGACCTGGGGAGGAGAGCGGCCACGTCCCCTTGGGTAACCTCATGAACCTCATGCACACATTTGTGGGCTCATGCACTGCTTCTGAGGAGTTTATAGGGTAAGGATTTTTTTTTTGTTGGAATTTTTATTACTTCAGAGATGTAGTTAGGAAAGTGCCTCAAGCTATATCAGGCTTCCACTGCTTAGGTTTTTGTGGGAAACTCAGGAATGAGTGAAACAACTACTTAGAATTGAAGTGATCTAAAGAAAAAACCCTGACCCTGAGGCCAAAGGGACAAGTAAACATAGTCTGGTTTTGATGAAAATCAGGGAATATAACACAGCAGGGCTCTCAGAAATGAAAATATTCCGTCTTCCCTGCTGCAGACATCCTTTTATGAGTGGTTCAAAACGAGCCATCTCAGCCAAGCTCAGGACAAAATTAGCCTGAAAAGAATGTCAAGTATTTCCAGGAGTCAGCTTTTGCTTAGCATCTTTCTCATGGCACATAAACAGAAAATGAGTCAGATAATGAGCAATAAAGACAAAATGTGAAATCCAAGTGTATAAACAAGCATATACCGCAGTGTATTATGATATTTTATCTGTTTCACCATACTTTGAGGCAGGCTGCTTCCATTTTTTCAGACAGCAGAACTGGTAATGTACAAGTCAGTCAGAATTTCCTTGAAGCAGGTGCAGTGTTTAATGCTGATCAATGGCCACATGATTCTCCCCTTAAAATGAAAATCTAGTTTTCATAAAAATACAACCTTTCTGCACCCCCAGGTTTACAGTACTGAATTAATTTACAAAATTCAGAAAATAAGTTCCATGAAGATGAATTATACTCATCTGTCTGCTGTATCATTTTTTTTCCACTTCCTTTGTAGAGCTACTTCAAACAAAAAAGGATAAAGGATGAGAGGAACTATAAATTTCATCTGATTTTTAACTTCTTTAACCCTGCCACAAAGCTAAGTGTGCAGGAATGAAAGGTGAGACAAAAAATTTACACAGTGTACATGTTTACAGACTGTTGAAGGACCTCCATGTAGCCTCCTTTCTGGAAGCTGGTCTGAACTGGGGCAAAATCTCATTCCAGTTCATATTCACTCACGCTGACATAAAGCTACCTGTGGCCCCCCCCTCAGCCTAGAACATTCTGGAGCGCAAAGCCCTGGTCCTTGGTTCTTATGCTGTGGACTAGCAAGACATTGTTTTGAAATTCTGTTTTATTTCCACATGCCTTGATAACTGTGGCCAGGGCTGGCTCAAAGCTTCTTAGCAGTCTGAGTACAAAACCTGAATTTTATTCCAAGTCCATCATGCACCAACATCCCACTGGTCCTGTGCATCCCCTTCCAGTACCAGCGAGGCAAAAATGGGGCACCTCCTGGGGGAGCCCCTGTGGCTGCTGAGGCAAGAGTCTCTTCCTCTGTGGATGACTGGGTGATGCTGCTGAATCCATCACCTACAGCCCTGTACAGTTTTCTATCTGAAGCTGGGGCTGTGGTCCATGAGGTGTGTGGCACTGACAGTTGTGTCTGCCTTGTGCTTCATTGAGTCTGACACGGCTCCACTGCACTGAGAATCTGCTCATGTGTGACTCAGAGCAGCACGGGGACCCATATTTAGCACCCTCATATGAGTTGACAGTTATAATACATGTAAGGAAAATACATCTGTGCCAGGCTATTAACTCTTTTGGCTCAATTTTTAAACCACTTGACTACTTCATTTCTTTTCTATAAGGTCTATGTCTGGTGTCATGTGCTAAATGCTTATTTACCAACAATTGCCTTCTAAATTACCTACAGTAAGTTAGTTCTTTCCTCACTTTCGACGTCAGTAAAAGTTGAAAACATTTAACGAGCCATTTCCCCTTAGATATTAGGCCATGACTGGTATTTATGCAGTCCTTTGAAATTATAGTTTTGCTCTTATACTGGTAGACACACAGGAAACATTGGATCTTGCTTTTTATTTAATCTCTTCTTTCAGTTCAAGCAGAATGTAGAGCATTGATATTCTGATGCTATGGAACCATAAAAGTGTATATTTGTCTCAGAGAGTTTTCAAATCCAATTAGATTCCGCAAAATAACATTATTTTCTCACTAATTTGCTCAACTGACCTTTTAAAAATGAAAGCTTAGCTATTTAAATGCTTTGTGACTGAGCTAAATAGAATATCTGAATTTCTTGCTCGCTTTTGGGAGAGGAAGAGTTGTGACGTTTGCAGATCAAGATAGTATTCACTCTTGACGTCAGTAACTGCTATCATTTTGTTTTATAAGAGAGATTGTTGTATATAGCCTGGTATGCAGGTTTATAACACAAAATAAGAATGATAAAATTTGTCACCACCGGAGCTGATATTTTTTCCCTCACAAAAAACCTAGGAATAATAAGAGACTCTTTCCCTAGTACTGCTACAGTGAACATTTCACTTGGACTTTTTTGCCACTCTGGTTATCTTAAAAGTACTCCACTATTTCCAAATAAAGACACCTAAACCCAGAACTTTCAAAACTTCTCTCTTGAGCACAAAAAAATAAAGGAACTGACTTTTTTTTTCCAAAAAATCATGTGTCAGCTGTTAACGTGTTGCGGTTTCACACACATTTGAGTGGCACATGCACTGCAATAATTGCATATTCCCCTTTAACCAAATAGTTTGCTCCCAAACATTCCAAGTAGATTTTCCATGCTTTTAATTCTCCATTGCATTTTTCATTGCAGCATCTTCTTGCACAATAATACCTCTAAAAATTGGTTGGAAGCAAACAGCCTCTAGCACTAAGGAGTTAAACAATCTAGATTGTAAAATTTCACCTTTTTGTTTTCAGCAGCAGTTCCCATCAGGTAACATAAAATAGACAGGTTTGTGTTTCAGAAGTATAACAACTATTTGGATGAGAAAACTCCCTCTGCTGGTTTGAAGAAGCAGTAGATATATTTCATTTATAAACAAACAAACTGTGGGAAAGTATTCATTCAGCACACACAGTATTTTTCCCTTCACTGCATACAAAGTGGAGAGTGAATCTGTTTATTCCACAGAATGAGGCACAACTCTTTAAAAATGAAATTTAAAAAAGAAAAAAAACAAACAAGGAGAGAAAATATAAAAGCACAGAGCAGTCGTTTGGCTGTTTTGGACATAAAAGCTGTATCAAAATGTAGATTTTCAAGGATGAGGCACATTAAGCTTGAGGCAAATTAAGCTTGCCCACTAACATTTAACCTATTCTTTTAACTATTGGGGGGTTGCATTATGTTAAGAAGCAAAAGGAACTTCATCTTTCTTTTCTTCCTACCCCCTACAGACAGTCCATTATTAGGAGCTACACAGAGCTCACAGGCTGGACCTTTCACAACTACAGCACAGCTCCCCCCATCCAGGTAAAGAGTTTCCTGTCATCTGTCTTGCAGATGGTTGCTAAAGAAGGATGAAATACTGTGTTCCTACACACAGCTGGTGATACTAAGGAATTCGGGGTGCCAGTTTTCAGGCTATCAAAGCAGTCATGCTCTAGTGCTGTATTTTTCAAACCATGGAGTGTGGATCAAT